ATTGAAACTTCTTAATTTTGGACATTTGATATAAAGTGTAACCATGACAACAAGGTGTTTTTTTTATTTCAGAAACAGCCGGGTAACATCTCAAAGCTCAAATTTTACCTCAAATACAGCCCAAATTCCAAATGATTTGTAAATGAGGTGCTGTGGATGCATCTCCGTCTACCTGACAGAGGCGCTCGAGTGACTGACTGCTGAGATCCTGAAGCTGACAGGAACGTGGCTCATGACAAGAAGACCAGGGTCATTTGCAGCTGGTGCTAATGAGTCACACACGCAGTTCCAGTCATCAGTGTTTACATCTGAGAAGAATGTGCTGAAGTGTTTGCTGCAGCGATGCAAGGTGTGAGATGATGACCCCCCTCACTGTAACCACAGTCAAGTTATTAGTGTGGAGAAACTCAGTCAGTTGAGGGAACATGTCTGTTATGATTATCTTTGAATTAACAGCTTTAATCCGCACTGTAACCCCACTCTTTGGACCAGTCATTGCAGCAGCACCATCCATACAAACAGCCATACATTGTTTCCAGCTCAGTCTGGATTCAGTCATGAACACATCCAAAGTTTGAATATTTCCTCAACTGTAGTCCTGTCTGGCACCTTCTTGTAGAAGAGGAAGTCCTCCAAAATGCCTCCATCAGGGGTAGCACACCAAAGCAATTAATTGAGCTGTACTAGAAATGCTCATGGATTCATCCAACTGAACAGAAAACTGTTCACATAAACCCAGACTGTCCAGTAGCTGTGACTGTAAGTCAGCTGAGAGTTTTTCAGTTCTTCTCCAGTGTCAGTGGAAAGTGGTACAGCTTTAAGCTTATTAGCTGTCTTTGCACCCAGGACATCTTCACACATCTCCACTGCTGCTGGGAGAACACGTTCTTGTCCAATCAAGTGTGACTTCTTACGTTTTGCGATGCATTGAGCCACTAAATAAGAAGCCCGCTGTGTTTTCTGTGAAGCTGTGGCCAAGATCACCATTTGTTTGTTGTGTGTAGTTGTCACCCTTTCGCCCCCCAAAAATCTTTATTTTTATCCTTGAACTCTGGGGGCTTCATAGTCAGATGTCGCTTTAGCTTGGCTGGCTTCATAGCTTCATTTGCTAGCACCTGAAGACACACGACATATTTTGGTCTTCCGTCTCTGCTCTCGATGAAACCAAACTCAATATAACTTTAATCATATTTTGTAGTGAACTGGTTAGGGATTTTCTGCACTTGACGAAGTTGACGGTTTTAAATACCTTACCATTTCCACTATATGTTAGGCAGTAGAAATAGCTGTGCACCAAATGTTTGTTTACAGATTTACAACCCCAGACATACATATTTACGATGTATGTCGTAATCACATCTGAGTTTTGATTGTCTAAAAGCTAATGTAGGCGGGAGTTATTAGTTCACTAGATTCATTTGATTGGTGCCCATGTCAGTGTTTCTCCCACCAAGGTGTGTGCCCCGCCTGGTCAACAGCACTGAGCCCTGCCTACCGACCCCCCCACTCCCACCCCCCATCCTGGAAGAATTGAGCTCCCTGTCAACGGACGTAGCATGGGGGAAACACTGCATCTGTATTTATGCACATTTTAAAATTATTTGACTTAGCTAAAACTGAATGCAAACTACAAAAAATTGTTACATCATAATTATCGATGAATTATTCGGATCAGATGGTCCATCTGAATATGTCCATATGGGGCTGAGATGGTGTAGGGGCAGGGCAGCCGACTCAGGACCCAAAGATCCTGGGTTCGATCCCCAGTAATTGCACATCTTGTGGTGTCTCTGAGCAGGACACCCAATCCCAAATTGCTCCCTGGGCGCCTACATAGCTGCCCACTGTTCCACCTGGGTGTATCCCAGGTGCGATGGGTTAAATGCAGAGAGCCATTTTTGATGACAACACATAGCACTTTATTTTTATTATTATCATCTGAAGCTTAACTGAACTTTTTACCTCTTTCAACCAGTCAACGTGCGGTGAAATGGCCACGTGCGACAGGTGTGTTTGCATTTATTGGATTGTCGGCCGCGCGCATCCCTGCCGCAATAAAAGCCCGACACTGACCGGGCCCACACATTAAGCACATTATTATGGCCCGGCCCGGTACGAATCGGGGTCAGGAGGGGCAGCACTACTTGGGGGTCCGCAAAAAAAAATAAAATCTTAGACCACATGTGATGCAATGATGGAAATTACAATAAATTCACATTGAACCTTAAGTTTAATTGTAGCCACACACAAAAATGGAAGTTTGTGCCTCACTCTTTAATTAGTCATGTTCACAACTTGCACACATGAATACTTGGATAGAGGGTGTTTTTAATTCCCACACATCACTCTGCAATGGGTGCCAAAAAAAGTCACAACTCAGTTTAAAACTGGCATAAAGGTGACAGGCAAACATACATTACTTCTAGAAATTCTTGGCCTTTAAATACAAATGTTTAAAACTTTAAGTGACTGTATAAACTTCTTCAGTCAACTGTTCAGAGTACATTTAGCTTTGTAGCTAATATAGGTTGTATGTTGTCAACTAGGTATATTATGGGAATAGTGTTAAACATTTACCTTTCTTGGGCAGCCTTTATGTTCAACAGAATACTTACAAAGTTGGCATACACAATCATTTTCTAGTAATTCAACAAAATATAAATGTAAAGACATTTTGCCATGTGAGGAAAGCATTATCTTGGTGACAGGTATTGAGGATTTATATCAAATCCTCTTTGGATTGATGATGCTTAAAAACATCACTCATAGAGGAAAAACTGTGGAGTCAGAATAGAAAAACAAACTATGATACCCTGTGGTAACTCTCTGTCTAAATTCCTCCTAAAAGATGACTCATGCAGACAATATTTTCTGTCAGGAGCTTGATGGATGACCTCGTTCATGCTCTCCTCCAATCAAGACCAGTGATCCGTCTGATCGAATTAGCCTAGGGTGCTCCATCTGGATGTCTGGGCTCAGCTGTATGTCTCTAGTCTGAATCAAATGTCCTTGCAGGGTGCTAGTGTGGGGTTCCTTGCATCGAGGTCACCTGTGTTACATTTAGATGACCTCTTTGAGAATTAGACACCTGCTGATGTGCATGCAATACATGTACACACAAAGTCCTCATGGAGTGAGACTGTGTCTTTTGTTTTCATCTTGAAGTGAAGTTAGACCAAACCCACAACAGCAACTTGCTCAATTTGTTCAGAACAGACACAGAGCAACCTGTAACTAGACCTTGTCGATACCTTTTCTACATATTCTACATATACCCCAACAACACAATATGCACCCAACAACAAGGCCATGACATAATGAATAACCTTGTTTTTACCTGGTGCATATGCCCCAAAGCAGAAAGGAATATGTCACTGATACACAACTCCACAATGTGGATAAGAAACTGTGATGCCTAACATGATTTTTTTTGGTCATAAGATCAATAACCTTCTGTGATTTAAAACCTCTCACTGAATACATCTTATCTTGGTTCATGCAGAATAGCTTTGGATGTTGTCTTCCACCACTGACATCAGGAAATCCTTGAACAGTTGTCCGTCCTTATCTCATTGTTGGAACTTGAAGCTAGCAGAGCCTGGTTCAAACAGTTTTAAAGCAGTTTTGTGACCTAACGACTGCACACTGGAGATGTCGGGACTCAATATGTTATATGTGCTTTCTTATGAGCAGTAAGTAACTACAACAAAACATTAAACATAAAATAATGACTATATAAGCATACAGTAGCAGGGTAAGATCTACTGTATGTGGATCAAGAAGTAACAGCATCTGACAAAACTTCTCTGAAGTGTATATTTCTCAATGCCATTTTTGTTTATGAGGAAGGGGCGGGGCTTAAATACATATTGGGACCATCCTGTGGGGACACTCCATCCTCTCTGGCTTCAATGTCTGGGTTCCAGTATGGTGTCCATCATTCTCTTCCCTGTTTGTTGATGTCCTCCAAACAAGTGGAAATAATGCTATTTCAAAATTTTATTTTATAGTCCCTTCAAATCTTCACTATGAACAAGCATTGTTCTGCACAACCAACATATAACAGTGTGTAACAAGACTCTCACTAAATATCAAGTTCAATCTTTTGGTAATATTGGTAATAATGTAAAATCTAACAAATTGGTTTTGCAACCTTTTTGTCTACTCTACTCATGTTTGGCTACTCAAAGTGACACTGCTCACAGTTGTAAATAATGATGTTAGTAGTTGTCTACATTTTAATATTTATTTGATGTGGACTTACATACGTTAGACAGTAAATGGTAAATGGACTGTAGTTATGTATCACCTTTATATATAATACAGATACCCAGAGCGCTTTACAATACAACCTGTGCCTCTTTTACCTCTACAGTGTACACAGCGCTCTACTAGGCCTCTACAAAGCTAATCTGAATCTGTAGAGACTAATCCGAGCTTTATCACATTCATACACTGATGGACACGTCAGAGGCAATGAGGGGTTCAGTGTCTTGCCCAGGGACACTTCAACATGTGACTGCTGGTGGAATTGAACCCTCAACTCTCCCATTGCAGGACGACTGCTCTAACCACTCAGCCACAGCCGCCCCTGACAGTAGTCTGACATTAGATCTCTTTATTTGCAATCTCCAAATACATGTTTTTGTAAAATGAAACAGAATACCTTTAAATTTCTTATTTAGTACCAAAAACAAACAAACAACAATTTCCTTTATGATAAAAAAAACAAAAAAAACAACAATTCAATCTGGACTAAGAAATTTAATTTTGACATTTACATGGTAAACAATAGTGGAGGTTGGATGGTAAAATGTAGATCAATATGATGTAACTAGAATAAGTACCTCAGTTATTGTGTAATGAATGTTTAATCCTTGAAACAAGCTTCATATCTCTGTGCTATTGTCCCATGGCCTATTTATTTAATCCATCTACGGTTAGTTGAGGATACACAGAGTTATCTGTGTTTCATTGTTGTCTTTAGATCAGAGCCTTACCTGCTCCAGTTTCCAGTGGAACTCTGCCGGCCTGAAGGTGTCCACCTGTGTGAAGTCTCTCCTCAGCAGGAACACCAGGCGACAATTATGGACATAGAGCGAGTAGTGATGCCGATTCATCTCTGTAGAAGGAAGACAGATGAGTGAGGACCAGGGACCAAGTCACCAAACCTACTCACACCTGCCAGGTAAAGTCACTATGACATCTGGCTTCATGAACTAAAGAAAAGTGGGACAGCTGCACTTTTCTGAATGAGGCCTGCTGTCAAATACCTATCACTAGTTTGACTATTTTTACAATGAAATAAAAATTCAAGGCTGTTGGCTTTGTTAAGCCTGGAAATTATAAAGTCACATGGTTTTCAATCTAACAAACTGTTTTAAAATCACATGCATCATGTAGAGAAAATGAGAAATCTCAATGAAATAAATAAATAAATAAAACTCACTATTGGTAGATTTGACTATTGCTTTTATTTACTCTGGCATACTGAAAATAATTTAATAAATGTATGTTGTGGCCTGGGCAGCACGGTGGCGCAACTGGTAGAGCTGCTGCCTCTCAGCGAGCAGGTCCCTGGTTCAAACCCCGGTCCAGGGGCCTTTCTGGTTGGAGTTTGCATGTTCTCTCCGTGCATGCGTGGGTTTTCTCCGCGTACTCCGGTTTCTTCCCACAGACCAAAAACATGCATGTTAGGCTGATTGGTAACTCTAAATTGTCTCTAGGTGTGAGTGAGAGAGTGAATGGTTGTTTGTCTCGTTTGTCTCTATGTGTCCCTGTGATGGACTTGCCCAAAACTACACATTGTGTCTATTGCCTATTTGCCATCCTTCCTTCATGCAGAATCAAAATATTGTTTATTGTCATTGTAACAAGCACAATGGAATTAAGTGTCATCCTTATAGTGATAAGATATATAAAAGATAAAACAATATAAATATATCAAAAAAGTCCATGCTCAATAATCCAGGTATGCAATCCAACAATTTTCAGTCAGATCATCTGGACAGAAACTAATGACCTGACTGAAAATTGTTGGATTGTATACCTGGATTATTGAGCATGGACCTTTTTGGTTTTGAACCAGTTTGACATGACTGTCGACGAGGAAGAGGGCCGGCTCCAGAGGAGGGCGCGTGCCAAAGACACCACCTTAGCACCAACATAATTTGTTTGTTCCACTTTGGAGTAAGCTGTTTTGGGGAAGAATCAGTTTTGTGTTGTGTGTTTCCTTGACTGATGAAGCCTTCTGGATGGACGGTGAAACGTTTCAGGAAAAAAAAAAAGAAACTGTCCAGATGACCTGACTGAAAATTGTTGGATAAAAGTAAATAAGAAGAAAAACATTTTTTACAAAATAAAAAGAACTGTCCTATGGCACTGCACACTATTGTACATTAAGGAAATACTGCATATGGTTTGTTATCTGTGTCCAAAAACTTCTTTAAAAAGTTTTCAGCTGATGCAAAATGCTGCTGCCAGACTTTTAATGAGATTTGATTGAGATCATATCTCTCCATTTCTTCTCTCCATTGGCTCCCTGTCAAATCGCGGATTGAATTCAAAATCTCACTTCTAACCTACAAAGCTCTCAACAACCTAGCTCCATCTTATATTACAACTCTTATTGTTCCATATTTTCCTAACAGAGCACTTCACTCTCAGACTGCAGGTTTATTTGTGCTTCCAAAAGCAAAAATTCAGAGTTTTCAGTTATCTCTAGTGGAACCAACTTCTAGTTTCTGTCCGTGAGGCTGACACATTGTCCAGTTTTGACTGGGCTCAAGAATTTCCTTTGTCATAAATCCTATAGTTAGGGTCGGCTTGGGTTTCCTGAGCTGTCCCTTAATTATGCTGCTATAGGCTTAGACAGCAGAAGGACAACCGGACCACATTTCCTCATTATATGACTGTCTTTACATACTCTGCTCAACCTGCTTTGTTTTTCTACCTTTTTTGTATTTGTAATTATTTTTTCTATCCTTTACATGTGTTTTTGTCTTTCTTCCAATAGGAGGTACATCTGGACCTGCCATTCTGTGTTTCTTTCTCCTTCCTGTTCCTTAAACCCAGCCGGTCGAAGCAGATGGCCGCTCGTCCTGAGCCTGGTTCTGCTGGAGGTTTCTTCTTGTTAAACTGAAGTTTTTCCTTTCTACTGTCTCCATTGTGCTTGCTCAGGATGGGGGACTGTGACAAAGTGAAGATTCTACTAATCTGCTGGCTTCCTTAGAGAATTTTTACCTACTGGCTTTTGTATAATTCTGTTCAGTGCCCTGAGACAATGGCACTATATAAATAAACTGAATTGAATTTATGTTCAGTAATCCAGATTTAACTATTTTATTATTTTGTTTTAGTAAAGTAACTGTTTATTTTAATACTAGTTTTATGATTTATATTTTTTAGATATAAATCTATATAAATGGTAAATGGTAAATGGACTGTACTTAAATAGCGCCTTTCTATTTTATCGAAATACTCAAAGCCCTTTACACTACAATCTGTGCCTCATTTACCCATTCATACAGCACTCTACTAGATCTCTACAAAGCTAATTGAACAAATCATTCTAAAGAGACTAATCAGAGCTTTATCACATTCATACACCAATGGGACACACATCAGAGTCAATGAGTGATTCAGTGTCTTGCCCAGGGACACTTTGGCATGTGACTGCTGGTGGATTAGAACCCCCAACTCTTGCATTGGACGACAACTGCTCTAACCGCTCAGCCACAGCCGCCCCAAATGGATTTGAATTGAATGGTTATTGCACATCTGCACATGGTTAGAGAGGTATGTGACCGGGACAAAATGAAAAACAAGCAGTATTTCCAAAACAAATATGACAGTGTTGGCTGTTGTAAACGATAATTCACCAAAACCTAAGCGCAGACAATATGGCATGACATTTTGCATAAATTCAATTCAAATTCAAGAATACTTTATTAATCCCAGAGTGAAATTAAATGTTGTGACTCGTTATCCTGGTTTCATTTAAGAGTTGTTATAGATGCTGATGGCTGTGGACAGGAAGGATCTCCTGCAGTGGATCCAAAGAATCTGGCCACAGATGACAATTTGTCCACCTGGACCCGGCGGGTCTCTTCTTCCTCCTGGGCAGCAGGACCACCTGAATGCTGGGCAGAACTCTTCCCCAAACAATTACCATTCCTCCCAGCAACCTGCTGAGCTCCTCGTCAGTCAGTTGCAGGTGTCGGGGGATGATCCTGGTCTTCTTGTCATCACAAGCTGCATTTTCCACCAGCTCCAGGATCTCGGTCGTCGGGCACTCGAGCACCAAAGTAATGTCAATTGGTCTGTGTGACCACTCAGTTGTGGGAGTCAATAACAAACAGATTTCTTACTGACGTGTTGTGCACCATGTCAACCCAGCTGAGGTGAGTTTTCCTCCACACCTCTGAACTCGCTGTGTTTCTAAAAGCTCATGTCGCTGTGGGATGGATGTTGAGCTAACCAAATATTCAGATGACGTGAAAATGCTCATTCTTTTTTAATTGTCTCTCTTTCTGTGACTTATTGTTTCACTGCTTTAGTTCTTAGACTTTAAACAATATTAACACTAAAATATGTTGGTTTTTTTGTATTCCCAAGATTACTGGCATTAACTTTTTATTTACTCCAAAATTTCACTTTGTAGTTTGTCATAAATATCTATAGATTTTAATGGTACATAGCAATATAACAATATAAATATGGTTTTGGTGATTTGGATTATAAGCGTACTTGTATTTGCAATCAAGTGATTGTACTGCGATGAATGTAAGTCAATAAATATTCAAATATATTTATTTACTTATATTGGTCCAGAGGACCAGATTTACCTTTTTTAGATTTTTCTACCTGGAATATTGAGCATGCATCAGGATATTTACTTATATTGTTTCTTCATTGAATTGGTTGATTTTGTTTATCCATCCAATGGGGGCCGTGATGGTGTAGAGGCAGGGCAGCTGGCTCTGGACCCAAAAGTCCCAGGTTCAATCCTCTGCATACCTCGTGGTGTCTCTGGGCAGCACACCCTATACCCAAAATGCCCCCCGGGCGCATTCAATAGCTGCCCACTGCACCACCTGGTGGTGGATGGGTTAAATGCAAAGACTAATTTCATCATTGTATGGAAACACAGTGATGACAATGTGATGACATTATTATTATCCATCCATCCATCCATCCATCCATCCATCCATCCATCCATCCATCCATCCATCCATCCATCCATCCATTATCTTTACCCGCTTCTTCCGTTTTGGGTCGCAGGGGTCACTGGTGCCCATATCCAGCTATTACTGTGCAAAAGGTGGGGGACACCCTGGACAGGTCTCCAGTCCATCACAGGTTGAATTTGTTTATTTTGCCAAAATTATTACCAATCTTGCAGGCATTTCTTGCAGTGGTTTTAACTACACAAAAGTCCATTAATTATTATTTTCAAATATAACAATCATCATAATGTATTTTTTGCCTTCGTATAATTTATGTTCAAACACTGATATTTAAAAATTATAGCACAGTACACAGTAACTTAAAAATCACACTTTTATTTACCAGAATTCTGCAATAAATCAATTTTCTTTCACTTATAGGATACAATTTGAAATATTTTAGTTTGTGTAGTTTATGCAACATGAATTTTTCATACTTTGTTAATTATGTTGTTTTGTGGCTGGGGGGGGGGGGGGGGCAAACAAAAGTTAGAGAACTACTTGAATAAGCCATGAAGTTGATGCAGCTTAGGAAATGTTTGATACAAATTATTGTTCCATCAAAATCCAGATGTCGCGCTAATGACAACAGATAAAACAATAAATGCTGTTAAATACTTGAGGAGGGAAAAAAAATCAAGGCTATCCCTTTAACTATTCCTTCAACAATTTCCTGCAGGATCAATAAAGTTCTATCTTATCTTAATTAAAGACACACCTCAGCCCAGATTTCAAACTTTTTAATTTTTTAAAACTGAGACTGACCACGGACTTTGTATACCTGTGCAGATGTTACGAACAAATAATCTAGACAAGTAAAATCAGTCCATTGTTTATTTTGGTCCTCTCGTGGGATCGGCAAACAGGAAAGCTCAGAAATGACAAACGACTCACCGGTTTTATCGGAGTTGCAGAGTAACGTCTCCTTCTCTGCTCTGAGCCCAGGGCTGGGCCCGTGCTTCATCCACGTTGCAATGGTGAAGTGATCGGTTAGATTTTGGGGGACCACCCAGTCCGGGATTTTAGCCGCCTGACGACCATCAAAACTGAAGATCAAGTCGCTGTCCCTCCCGCTGTCAGACACCAAAGAGGACGTCCAATTGGTGGTGGCGCTGGGGGCTGGAAGGAGGTCAGTGCTGCCAGATGAGGCACCTGGGGGTTGTTGCAGTAGGAACAAATAAAAGGAGTGACAGAAGACATGTCAATAACAATCATGGCAGATATGCAGTGTACATTGCCCCAACCTTGGCTATGATTGTTTGTGAAAACAGCAGAAGCCAGAGCTTAATAATTAATCAATGGGGTGAGTGGGACTTAGGATGTGAACTGACTCAAGGTAAACAAAAGTAACTTTAAAAATAAGAGAAATGTGAGTCATTGTCCATAAACTGTGGATGCAGCTCTCAGCTGAAATGCACCTCTTTTGGGAATAGGCAGGCCACATTAACTGGGCACCATGGTTACACAGAAGGAGAACATGCTGCACGACGAGGGGATGAATAAGCACATGAACTGGTTTCAGATGAATTCTTTGTTGTCTGACTCCCAGACAAAATAACAAAATACACCAACCAATTACTGCATCGCATCAACTCATTACTTTACACTTTACAAACCTTTTCATCAAACCTCTAATGCAACAAGCTGATGTCCCCCCTCGCGGAGGGGCTTGAATAGTGAATGCTATTCATCCACCAGGCGCACACTTAGACGTAACAAAGACGAAAATGGAAGTCAGTTCCTCACATATTTTTCAAATTGTCAAGCTCACAACACGGACGGATCTACATATATGGTGGCAGCCATCTTGGATTTTGATGTGGCAAGCCAATTTTCAAAAGGAACTTTTTTTACAACTAGATGTGGCCACACACCAAAATGGAAGTCAATGAAAAATACATTCCATCCAACTAAACCACTTTTGTGAGTCACGTTGCTCCTGATTGTGAGTGGTGGCAAAATAAAAAGATACAGAAACTGTAAGAATTCACCATAATCCTTTTGTGAAAGCAAGAAAATGCAACATACATCCATTAATTCCTGCTAGAAACACAACATTTGCACATTAATTGATGTTTTTCTTCCACCTCTAAAGGTCTGTTTCTCTCCACTGCTTATTCATGGTGCCACCAACGCTTTGACTCGAGTAATTAAATTCCCTTAGTAAATAAAAACGGATCGACGTCTCCAGCACCCAGCTGCAGCCGCCTTTTTGCCCAACGTCTCTGTACTTTATCTCAAATTGATTGTGCTTTAAAAAAGCAATTACAATTTATTCTATTTGCTATCAGATAACGATTATGAGGTGCCTGAAAATGTCTCTTTAGTGGTAAACCATGCATGGACTGGGAGGTGGAGGGGGGGCTGTGGTGCATTCAGATGAGCTGGAATGTGGCCTGCGAAGGCCGTTAGTCAAAGTCGATGACTCCAGCCCCCCTGCCGGCAGTGCGGGGTGGGTGGGGAGGGGGTGCAGGGTACTTTGTTGGCGCTCTGGGGACTGACTGACCGACTCGACTGCTCATCAGTCACTGAGGAGAAAGCGTCGCTGCATCTGGGGCGGCTAATGCCCTCGCTCTGTCACATCATTAGTGACACAGCTTTAACTTGCTGTTCTTCATTTAGCACAGGGATATACCAGGGACACAAGTGGAGATAAGAATGTAACACGGACTGGGAGCTTTTTAGATGTTCATTTAAAAAGAGTAGAGAAAGGTACCTGGGGCCCTGTCTGACCCTGGCACTCACAGTGTGGACAGCAGTGATGTTTGCAGCAGAACTTGAGTTCTGATTTAATGCTCTCACTCATAGGCTGCTGCCTCAGTCTAAGTCTTTAATCAGCGTCGCTCAACAAATCCACTACTACCTCAAAAACCCCTAACCCAATTTGTCTGAATCTTTGTCGTTCTGGTCACAAAGTTGTAAATTGCGTAGAAAACTCGAACCAACCACAAAGTTTCTGCAGAGATTTCTCAGAGTACGTCTCCCGGTCGCAGCCCTTCCCGATGTGGCTGGTCTGTAGCTCCACAGTGGTCCTCACTGAGGACAGAGGTTCACCACAGGTCTCCAGGTGCATCTGAGGAAACAGCTGCTTACTGCCTGTTCCTGGCTCGTAGTCCACTCGTTTAGTCCAACCTGGGAAGAGACAAAGATGGAGTGACTGTGAGAACAAGGGAAGAGACAGTCTGTTCTTTTGAGGTAAACCACCAGCCAGAGATATATAATTATCTGCCAAAGGACCTTCTAGTTTCTAAATAATTTGTGGTGTTTTGTTTATTTTTATCCATTTAGGAGCCCAAGAAAACAAAACCTGAATTAAAGTTTTACATTGTTATGGTGTTTCTTCTTATTAAAAGTCAATATGCTCCTGTTGGACAGCAGTCGACTAATGAAACTATGACAGTGTTGTTGTATGTTGCAGCAAAGTACCTGCCAGTGAAGCCTTTTTATGGTGAATTTGTGTTCATGGGGCAGTCCACATAAAAGTTATCAGGACAAGTACCTCAATATTATAAGCAATCAAACTTTTTTTTTTTCCGTGCTTCACAATATATTAGAAATAACTTGACAGCCAATTCTAAACCATTCCATCAAATTTATGCTGCTTGTGCACACAACTGAGTTCCCATCGACCAGTCAGTAAACATTACTGGTGAGGAGTGAAAGGCAATGACACAAGGCAAAAATGACAACCCAAGAAGGCAATAAACAACTCTGTTTGGCAAATCTGCCATGTTTCCTTGCGGACACATCACTCTGTCATGCTCAAAACACAAACACTGCATCTGTTCTGTAGTTGATTTACCCCCTCCACTCTGTAACTGCTGTGTGCTGCTGGCACACAGATACAATGAGATTTTCTGTGGTTGTGTTGAAAATAGACACAAAGAGTGGTGCATGCTTAACAGGAACATAAATACACAAAACTTAAGATGTTAAAAAAGGGGAAAACATGATTTTAAAAATAAAATAATACAAAAAAAATATTGATTTTTCTACCTTGTAATCACTGATGCCGACAGTGCATTGTATAATTACTGCATTTATGGTCACAACTTTCCACATTTGATTAAAGTGCCATTTTTGTCAGTAGTGCACTTTGGAACTGATGGCTCTCAGTAATTCAAGTATTCAGGTGTTATTAAAATTCAAGTGCTGCAAATAAATACACATAAAATATATTTAAAAAGTGTGTGCGGTTTTGGATTTTTGGTTTAAAATGATTACATAACTGAATAAAACAAATACTGAGAATAATACCAGAACAGAGCGAATGAGCAATCTGTACCTAAACATAGACAAGAGTGCCGCAGACGGCACATTATCTGCCCATTGACAAACTGTTTCACACCAGTACAGCAATCAAATGGACAGGACAAGAAAAATACTTCTATAAGCTTTAACCTTGATTGTGACCTTGACCTTAGAGCAGGGGTGATGAAATATGTACACAACACTCAGCCTAATCATGATGCATATATGAAGTTTCATTAATTACTGTATCTTGAGCAATCAGAATTAGACAAAAGAAAGTTTATAGACGTATAGACGAAGATTATGCAATACGTTTGTCTTTTGATGGGTGTACGTATAATAGAAAAGTGTTGGAAGCTGCAGATAGACACGTTGCTGTTTAGTAGTAGTTACATTGTAGAGTAATGTCACATGGCCCTTTTGCATTGACAGACTGGGGACATTTACTTTGTTTTGCCTTTAACGTGTGCTTTTTACAATGAACTTAAGCTAGGATAAGCTAATTCGCACAGCTTTCAGTTTTATGGAAACATCCTAACACATTTAAAATGGCAGAACACACACACACGCATATATATATATATATATATATATATATATATCAGACCAAAAACATGCATTTTAGGCTGATTGGTAACTCTCAATTGTCCCTAGGTGTAAGTGAAAGAGTGAATGGTTGTTCGTCTCGTTTGTCTCTACATGTCCCTGTGATGGACTGGAGACCTGTCCAGGGTGTCCCCCGCTTTTCGCACAGTGATTGCTGGACATGGGCACCAGCGACCCCCATGACCCAAAATGAAAGAAGCGAGTTGTTGTGAGATTAGACTATTTTTTATTCTGAGTTATGGTAGTTTTGTTCTATGACCACTAGGGGTCACCAGGGAGTTGCAGGGGGTGTTTGAGGGGATTCGAGCAAGAGTGAAGACACGTGTGACTCGGAGCTGTAGCTAATAAAGACGGAGTGAAGCTCACCCGGTGAAAGGCCTCCTGAGTCATTCTTTATAACATGACATGGTCAGAATTAAGGACTTTACGCTTACTTTGGAAACACGATGGCAAAGTTTGGACCGCCGAAGCCATTTGATTTTACACAGCCTGCGGAGTGGCCGACATGGCGACAGCAATTTTCTCGCTTCAGGATAGCATCGAAGCTTAACAGAGGGAGCGGTGAAGTGCAGGTAAATTCGCTCCTGTACTCCATGGGGAAAGATGCTGAACCTATTTACGGTTCTTTTGTTTCTGGCTGCAACGGAAGACATGCCACATCCGGAGAATGAGTTTGCTCTAGTGATACAGAAGTTTGATGAACACTTTGTTCCAAAAAGAAACGTTATCCATGACCGGGCCTGTCTTCACAAAAGGGCTGGTGAGATGGTCGAAGCCTTCGTGCAGAGCTTATATGAGCTCGTGCAGTACTGCGAGTTGGGCGCAGGAAAGGACGAGCAGATCCGGGATCTGATTGTCATCGGAATAATGGATAAGGAGGTTTCTCAGAAGCTCCAACTAAAGGCGGACTTGACTCTGGAGAGAGCGATCCAGCTAGCATGTCAGAGCAAACAGGTGAAGCTACAAATTGGAGAACCCATGGAAACTATGGTGAATGAGGTGAGACAACCAGTTTAACAGCACAAAGAGGAGCTATGATGAGTCATTACAGCCACAGGCACAGAAATACAGTGAGTTTAAACGGAGATGTCAAAGATGCAATAGAAAACACGACAAAAGAGAAAACTGTCCAGCCCGAGACAAAAGCTGCAGAAAATGTAACAAAATGGGACATT